GGGCGGCGGTGTATTCAGGCGAGAGAACAGGGTTTTTTGTGTCGCAGTTACATAACGCGATGTCGGTTACATAAGTTTTGCTCTGGGAAATACCACAATAACACATCTCCTGCGCCGAGGCGAACGTGTTCATCAGAATCAGAGGCGCTTTGTTCGGAGAAATTACTCAGCTGTCGTAGCAAAAATAACCCAGATGAAGATTTTATCGGTTATTTTTCAAGCCAACCCATTTCAAGATGGCCGCCGCAGTCCTTGGACTTAAAAAGGCTAAAGCTCGGTCAGTTTTGCAGATGGGGAGCTGAAGTTGGAGGTGGCCGTAGCTGAGCTCAGACAGCTCAGGTTTTACTTCCTGTTGCAGGTGCAGCTCTCTGCGGGTATATTAAAAAGCAGCTATTGTGGGGAAGTGAAAATGAAATTAGGCGGAGCTTCGTTTAAACTGAAGTTAAAGCAGAACAGCAGCTGCACTTAATTACAGCTGGAGAAAAAGCAGAAACAAATAGTCCGACGTAACAAACCCAGTCCAGGTCGCAAACATGGAAAATTAAGTTCATTTCATTTTGTTTGGTGGTTTCTTTACTAGATGTTAAATGCTATTTTGAAAAAATCTTGTATTGTTATACTTGCACATAAAATTTTTATGTTTTTTTTTTTTTACAGAGACTGGGTCATCATTACCTTGTCAGCATTAGCTTAGCTCAAATATTAATACAGCTGTTAACTCCTCATATAAACGCTGCAGTTCCCCTGTTTTGTTGCAGACCAGGAGAAAACTCATCTATTTCTGTTTATTTTCGATTATTAGAGTCTAACCAGAGGCTGGACAGACCTGAGTTTGTTTCTGATTTGTGCTTTAGTGACGCCTGAAATCAGATCTTGTCGAATCGTTTTGCCATTTTCTTACCCAGAATTGTTTTTATTACATCTTGCTGCTGCCAGAGGTGGTTTCACTCAGACATGTTTTCATCCTGTCCTCTCTGCAGGAGGTGCTGGAGCTGGCCTTCTCTGTCCTCTACGAGTCGGACGAATACTTAAACTTCATCGCTCCTGACAAGCATGAGGTGAGCTGTGCAGCTGTTGAAGTGGAAAATAGATCAGGGTGCTTGAAATCCTTGAAAATGCTTGAGTTTTAAGAGTTTTTAAGGGCTGGAAAGTGCTTGATTTCTGTATAAAGTCCTTGAAAGTTCTTGATATTTTAACGGCACAGTTTTGTAATAAAGAGCCCTCAAACAGTTTGATTACAAACCTGTTTGATATTTTTATGTTTAAAGACAAGGTTGCGAGTGATCATTTTGTCTTGAATGGAGTCTCAGTGACTCAGAAASCCTCGCTGCCACTCAGAGTGGGTTTGTTCCTTTTCATGATACCAGCGTGTGAGCAGTGGTATGAAGCAGACCCACTTTGAGCACGTATTTGTGTCTTGCTAGTTGCACCCAGCTTCAGCGAGCAGGAGAAAACAGCATGCCAGGCGGTTGCTGCTTTAATGACCACTTTTGAAAAACCTATATACAAAGAATAGTTGAAACAATGACGAAACCTCTCTTAAGTAGCTCCCAGCAAGATATGCAAGCAGGAACTGCAGCTGTTCATGATGGGAGAAAACATAAGCCATAGTAGTTCAAGGGAATCTTAATTTAAGCTAGCTCACAACMTTGCAGGTAAATTTCAAATTGATTATTTGATGAATGGATCAAGTTAGGGTTTTCATGTCATCTTTTTTTTACTTTAAAATGTGCAAAAACTAAASATTTTAATCGAAAATGCTGGTAAAGGTGGTTAGCTAATGCTTTAATTGAACAAAAAGTGTATGTGCCTCTGTCTACTAAATGTCCGTTTCGTATTAATACTAGCAGAATTGTGTTCAGGTGCAGAGTATTTTAGACTGTTTCCTTCACACTGGTTAGAAAGACTCAGATACAGACTGCTCCGGAGTTTGATGCTGGAAAAGTTTGATAATTTAACCTTGGCAATCCTTGAATTTTACTGCGGGAGTAAGTGTACAATTCCAGATTTTTATACATTTTTGTCCATTTTTGGTCAATAAAACACAGTTTTATTAATGTGTTTGTGTCCTTTTATAACCAAGCCTCATATATATGCAACARTTGCAGGATTATAAAAATTCTTCTTGTGCTTTCAGGCCATAATTCTAATTTAAACAGGTTTTTGTTTAGATGATGATGCTGATCGTRTCTGGTGCACAGACCTTCATCCTTAGTGGATGATTTGTTCAGATTTTGGTTGAAGGTTAAAAACCGTCCGTCTTCTCTCCACAGTACTGCGTGTGGACGGACGGTCTGAACGCCCTGCTGGGGAAGGAGATGACCAGCGATCACACCAAATCCGACATGGACACCCTGCTCTCCATGGAGATGAAGCTCCGCCTCCTGGATCTAGAAAACATCCAGATTCCCGAGGCCCCGCCCCCGATTCCCAAAGAGCCTAGCAACTACGACTTTGTTTATGACTGTAACTAGACGTGTGACTCCTCCCCCTCAACACCCCCCCTCCCCTCTCCCTTCACCTGAACAAAATCTGCACCTTCTGTATTCACTGGACCCGTCTTTTCTCATGAACTGGAAGAAGAAACAAACTGAAGGAGGGACGCGTTAAACTTTGTTCTCTTTGCTTCTTGCTAGATGTTTAAAAGATGAGAGGGTGCAGATTAACTGAGGGACTTGGGATCAGTGCAGAGTCATCAAGTCGCCATGAAGACGGGAGAAGCAGGGAGTTTCTGTTTAACCTGTTCTTCATCGTCCTGCTCAGTCTTCTTCACTCTCCTGCAGAGTCTGTTTCAGTGTCCAGACACCTGCTGGCTTCTTGCTTCTGTGGACAAACGTTTAGAAATTTATTTTTCTTTAAGTTTTTGTGGTGTTGTCCTTTTTATTTTTCGTTTGTTTTGTTTTGTTTTTCCTCAGGGTTTTTATTTTTATTTTTATTTTTTGTCAGGAGGCGATATCAGGATGGAAGTCGTGTAGTTTAAAGAGCAAGTGAGGTTAAAAAATTACTTCCTGTCACATTTCTACTAACTCAGTGGCAGCTAAGAGGCTGGATTACACCTAACGGACCAATCCTATAAAAATAATCTCTTCTGCTCAGTCACGTTCCACATATACTGAAGACTGTTTGAAAAGTTTTTCTTTTTAATAATTGTGTTATTGAACTCGTTGCTGCTCATTATTATGATATCTTTCCCATAAATCCAACGTAAAATCATCTCTGTTGTTAAAAAGGCCGCTTGCCTCTCCCTCACTTGAGTCTCTTGTTGTAAAAACTGCTGTACACAACATTCCTGAGCAATATTTCACATTTTCTTTTCTCATTTGATCATTTAGTAATTTTGGAATTGTGAAAAATTTGAAATAGTGGGAAAAAAACAAGAAAAAAAGCCTGATAATGTGTGTTTGGTCAAGGGAGGTTGACTCTGTGTGTGTGTGTGTGTGTGTGTGTGTGTGTGTGTGNGTGTTGGACTATGGCCACAGAAATTTACGAGGTTATGTATTTTTTTTTATTTAAAGAAAGATCATGGTTTTTATTTCTAGTATGATTTATATATTTCCCCCTTTTTTCTATTTAATTCCACCTTCTGTTTTTTCTGTAGGATTTTTTCCAAGCCCCTGAAAAACTGCTGTTTACATTAAAAATGGAGAGAAAAAAAACTGCGTTTTCTGTCTTCATTCATAAACCAACGATAAATCAGATCTTCTGTGCAGGTCAAAGACCTTATCTTGTAGCTTAAGTAAATTATTGAAAAGAGTTGAAAAGTTAGTTTTTTGTGCATTTCTTTGTTTTTTTATTTTTTATTTTAGGGCACTTTAATTCTGTTCGTCTGCTCCACCGTCCAGCGGAGGGAGCTGCTGCTTCTCCATCTTCAGGAAGAGGCTGATGAAGTGGTGCRGACCCTCTCTTGACCAAGTAAACCATTTGATTCACTCCTTATTTCTCACTCTAATATTTCARACAAATCTGCAAACTGWAGCTGTTTTTGGYGTTTGTCATTGTGTGCAGGCCCCAAGCTGACTTTGGGCCCTGGACACCTAAAACATTAGCACCGCCCCTGACCTAGGACCCCCAAAGTGCCTTGACAGGGCCCTGCTTGTTTGTCAGGATCTCTTGCTGGTTTGTAGTCAGATCCGTCCTTCAAACCTCTTTATTTTATCCCAACTTTTTGTTCTATTTGGAGAGAAGCTGTCTGAACCGTGAAGAAGCCATAAATAAAGTCTGTTTCATGTTGATCAGCAGCTGGCGTTGAAGAAAATAAAAACTCTTGATGTGTGCGGGAGTTCTGGAATCACTTGGGACGACTTTGAAGATGAGAGCCGTTAAGGAGGAGGAGGGATGAAGATGAGATCTGCTTTGATGTGACAGTAAAGGAGGACGTTCCTGACTTTATTTTTTTTGAAGCTGAAAGGTTTGCTAGTTTTAAAAGTCATCAGATTTTTTTTACCAGTGACTTTTTATTTGTTAAAGARGATAAATTCTGTAAATGACTTTGTCTGAAAACAAGAAGGAAAATATTCAGATTTGTTTTTCTTTGTCGTGTGGGAGTGAAGCCGGATGAAGACGAGTCGAATCCAGCTTCCTGCGTCTATATTTACCTCTGCAGAACCTGCCAGTTTCTGCACGTGTAGGACGGACAGCAGGCATATTGTTTCAACAAGACGACACGCTGCACGACTGAAGGCTTCTACCTCAGGTCAGACTCTCAGCTGCTTTTCTTTAACAGGTTTCAGTCAATGTTATTTATGAAGAAACAAGTTAAAACCAATTAAACAAGCTGTGACACAAAATCTAAAAATAGAAACTTCACACTTTTGGTCAAAAATTGAAACTTTCAGGCTGTTTTTGTTTTCTAATCAGCTCATTTTAAAAATATATATTTTTCTTACATTAACAAAGGAATTACATTGCATTTTTCTATCTGTGGCTAGAAATTGTAAAACAGCAGCTACTCTGTCAGAGCTTTAATGCTTACATAAAAATCCTAAAAGTTCTGGTCGAGTTTTATTAGCTTTGTTTATAATTTAAAAAATGAGACTAAGAGATTAGAACAGTTTTTAATTAAACCATTGTTCACAGCTTTATCAAATCTAGTAAGAAATAAAATTACATCTGATTAAACATTTAAATTTACAAACTCTGAATACAATTAATAAAAAAAATTAATCATAAATTAAGCACAAATTATTTCCTTCCAGAGGCTGAAAATAAGTGAAGTATTCAAAGTATTCGTATTTTTCTTAAAACAAAAAAGAATGAATTTATAATCTTTAGTGCAGTAATTACATATTTAGATAAAGGGCTTATTTGTATTAAACGGGGTTGTGTGGAGTATAGGTGAGTAACTAGTATCTATCCTGCAGCAGACAGAATAATCTCAGGTTAAAGTCCACGTCTTCTCAGCTCTGGACTCATTAAAAACTAAACCTCACAATAAAATAGTAAAACTTAAAGCACTATCAAATTGTTTAAACATCCTGATTGTTCAGAGGCTGAATGTATCGTTCCTCTGATCAGATACAGARGGTAAACATGAGGGATTATGAAAAAATGCTGATAAACTAAAAGATGTTTGTTTCAGAAAACTTGATTCATAAACACTCCAAACAACCCCACTTAGAAGAAAAATAATTAACATCCCTTCAAATCTCATTTATAGAAAATAAATTGTACAAACATTTAATTTAATTACACATAATGAACCGAGTGTGTCAGACTAATAAGTGTGATCAGGCTAGAGTCACACGTTGTCCTGGTTTAAACAAGACCGAGGGAGATTTTCTGTCTCCTGAGCCGTCGAAGTCTTCGTACCTGAAGAAAAACAAGAYTTGGATTAAAAATAATGGTCATTTCAGACAACGACTTTAAATCCGGTGCGCTGCAGTGGTGTCTCTGGACTCACAGTTTTGTGTATCTGGTCCAGTCYGCCCGGCTCAGAGACGGTCTGCTCGCAGCCATGGCAGAGTTGATGTGAGCCTGAGACAGCAGCAGGCCCGGCTGGCTGGAGGCCGAACGCGTGCAGACACACTCTTCCTACACAAACAATCACACAGGAAGAAGCGTGCATATGGAGCTTCAGTCTGTTTCAACAGCAGCAGCACGGGGAAAATAAACATACTGTCCTGATCCAACAGCATTTCCAGCTTTAATAATCACTCACGTTTGCTTTTCTGCAGTTGTTCTTGATGGTCTGAACATCTTGTAGTAAACGCTCCGTCTGCTCAGGGTCCAGCTCCTTGTATCCAGTCTGGATGGAGGGCATGAACGCAGGAGGCCGGGTGCTGACCGGCTCTCGGGTCATGGAGTTGTGCCCAGATACGCACTGTGAGTTCTGTAGAAACACAAACAATGAAACTGTGTTATTTTAGACCAGTGGGGCCTAATTCTGCTCTTTAATCTCATTCAAGATTATGAAGRGGTTATTCCAAAGCCAGCTACTGATCTGAATGATGATAGGCTGCTGGCAAATGAGACTACATGTGTGTTAGCATTGGAGAGGTATTAGAATAATATTTTAAAAAATGTAACTTTATCAAGAAAATATGACCGAATATTAGTGCCAGACTAAGAATGTGTCATCACTGCGTTAAAATGAAAAGTGGTGAGCATCTTGTGAAGTTAAACTGTCGATTTTAAAAATACGGAAATACTTCATCTTTGAACGCACCAGCAACAAATTTTTATTAGTAGAAGGACTGAAACAATTGTGCAAAAAACTGAGTCTATTTCAATGGAAGAAATAACTTTTTTGTGGTTCTGTTCAATTCAACAATTTTTATTTCCCTTTGGGATTAATAATGTTTGATGGTATTGGGMATACAGGACCAGTGGCTGCTGTTTGGCTCAGCTCATCACATCAGATCTGTATCAAACTCTATCAAAGCTTAATTCTGATATTTTATGATTTTCCTCTGGTAATATTATAATTCTCATTCTGGCCCTAATACTGTGTTGTACTTTCTTGATAAAGTATTTTGTCTAATAAAGTGGTCAGCCTCTCCAATGCTAACGTGAGGAGTCATCTCATCAGTTACTGGTGCAGGACGATCATTAATCAGATCAGTGGCTGGTTTTGCAGATCCTACATTATTCCTAATTGTGTGCCTAATCCAAGATGGTCACTATGGCTATAACTGTTTTACAAATGTTGAACTAAAATTTGGTGTTGCAAGCATTCTAGTTTAACTTAGGTTTATATTTATAACTATTATAAATACATTAAATTAATCTTTTTAAAGTCAGTGCTCACCTGTCTATAAACAGGTGAATCTCTGCTCTCTGACTCGTAGGAACTGCCGAAGTACAATCTCCAGACGTTTTGTTCTTCCTCCACCTGYAGCTCACTGGGCTCGAGAACCATGGACTGGTCGAGGCCCACGCCGTGGTCCCCCTCCTCTATGGAATCGTCTGAGCTGTTGTTGGGGAACATCATGTTGGAAAGACTCATGTCGCTGTCGGAGCCGCAGCTCAGCTCCTGATGGCCGCACACAAACGAGTTAACACACACAGCGTGAAAAACTAAACTGCTTCATTACAATAAGCTGATCAGCTGCACCTGTGATGTGCCCGAGCTGCTGTGGACCGCCTCCAGCTGTGCGTTGTAGAGCAGGGCCTTTAGGTCCGCCCCGGTGAACTGCTCCGTCGCTGCCGCCAGCTGCTCCAGGTCAACATCTGGAGCTAAAGAGAGGCCAGAACTCAGAGCCTTCAGGATCTCAACACGAGCTTCCTGCGCAGAAGGAACAAGGARGGAGGTAAAAACAGAAGCACGGCTTGAGGATTTACTTGATTTTATAAATCCACAGACCTGGTCCGGAGGAGGGCAGTAGAGGGACTTGTCCAGTCGTCCAGGTCTCAGCAGAGCCGGGTCGATCAGGTCAGGGCGGCTGGTGGCTGCAAGGACATACACACCTGAAGACACAAGCAGAAAAAATATTTTAAAATCCTCCTATTTGTCGACAAACAGGTCTTTCTATGATAAATCCAGAAGTTTTTAAGTGAGTCATCATAAAAAACCTGAACCTACCCTGTAGTCCTTCCACCCCATCCAGCTCAGTGAGGAGCTGATTGACCACACGGTCTGTGACTCCGGTGCTGTCGTGTCCCCTCCTCGGAGCCAGAGAGTCGAACTCATCGAAGAACAGGATACAAGGTTTGACAGACTGAGCCCTGAAGCAGACAGAGCAAAAAATCTGTTAAAGTTATTCATTAAAAACAACCTGGAGAGGAATTTGAAATGCTCTGACCTCCTGAAGACGTCACGAACTCCCTGCTCGCTGGCTCCGATGTACTTGCTGAGAAGTTCAGGTCCCTGCAGACGCAAATCTAAGTTTAGACCACTGATGATCGGTTTTGTTTTTTGTTTTTTTAAACACGCAGGTGACCTTGATGCTGATGAAGTTCATGCTGCTGTCTTTGGCCACGGCTCTGATCAGCAGCGTCTTCCCCGTGCCGGGAGCTCCGTACAGCAGAACTCCAGAGCGATGGCGGATTGGAAGATGGGAGAAGAGGACGGGATACTGCGAAACATCCAAACCTCACAGTTAATATTAAAAACCACGTGGACATTTGTTTTGATTGTCATGTCGAGTTATAATAAACACAATTTTTAATAAAAAACTCCTACTTTTAGGAACTTGCTTTAGATTCAAGTTTAGACKAAAGGAGGCAGCATTAAAAAAATTACTGTAAAAATAGATTTAATTACCCTGACGACTCCCAAAACACCCAGCTTCGTTCTCTAATCAGCTGCAAGTATGACTATAATTATCATGCAAGTGGAATAAWCAAAGGTCTAATCAAACAATTATTCCTCTACTTCAAAGACAAGTGAATAAACTGGTAAGTGACGTGGGAATTTAAACTCAGTGATTCTTTATTATTTTCCTTTTTCACACACTGCTTTGTTTGTGATAGAGCTAATACAATCTATAACTTAAATTATTAAATTTGATAAGTTATTTTGAATCATCTCAAACTTTCACTCGATGGAAGCTGCTTTCATTATGATCTAATACTGTTGGGCTTAGAGATGCTTTTAATCTGAAAATCTTGAGCAATATTATGTGTTTCTCAGGCACATATTTAAATTCTATACCACAATAAAGTATCCATGTCACTTTTAGTTATTAAAATGCTGTTTAATAAGCGTGTACAGAAAATGGATGGACGGATTGATGGATGTTTAAATAAAAAATAAACGTGACATATCTGTTTCTAAACGCCTTGAAATTGAACTCTGTCTCTTTAAGAGCCTCTTTCTGCTTCTGTCCCGCCCATTTCAGKACAGGGCTGGTTGGGTGTGTTCTGTGATGAGGAAGCTCTGCTTGGAGACACAGCCCAGAGGAGGAGCTGATCCCAAAAGGAGGTTCTAGTCCCAACCCCTGCTTGCTGCCTCAGGACACGACAGGATTTCTCAAACATGCATGAATGAATCAAAGCAAGAATCTGGGCATGTTTTTGATGAGAGGATAACATAATAGTGCTGCAACAACGAATCGATAAAATCGATAAAAATRGATTATTAAAAGCATTGGCAATGAATTTTATTATCGATTCGTCGTGTCGCGCGATTTGTGCGTCCTTCGCCATGAAGCAGAGCCGTTTACGTCACCCGCAGAGCGTTGTCAATGTTGGCTGACATAAATAAAGTTTAAGAAAATATAAACTCTACCTGTAAAGATCCGCCGTCTTTGACTCGAGTGAAAAGTAGAGGCTGCGACCTTTAAACCAGTTTTTAAATCGTGTTGTTAGGCCAAGTAGATCCGAAGATATGATAAAAAGTATCTGACATTTAAAAGACGGTCTGATGCGAGCCGCGTCGCAACGAGGAAATGCATGCGGGGGCGACATAAATCCACCGTTTGTTTCGTCCTCTCGGGCCAAAAGTATAAAAACCCTCCAGTTTTTTCTGACTGAGGCTCAAAGTTACTTGTTGAGCAGCAAAAAGGTTCCGGACGAAGGCATAAAAAAAAAAACACGAGCAGCAGGTCTGCCTCAGCAGAGGGGAGGAGGAGGGGGCTGCCTCTGAACCACTTATACTGGGTCGAAGTCAGACAGAACCAACACGAATGAAGCAAAAAGTAAAGAATTAGAGAATGTTAAATGTAAATAAAATCTAATTATAATCTTATTTTTTTATTTTAATCTATTTTCCTCATTCAGCAACCTATTTAATTTCTGTTATGTTTCATGTATGAGAAACATTTTTTCTGTCAATATTTAATACAAACTGGCAAAATAAATTGTTAAAATATTTATGATGTGCTTCTGTTTTTTAATTCAGGAGATCATAAAAAAACCATTTTATGAAAAGACCCTCTTGATTCAAGAGAAAACTTCAGTTTTTAAGAAAATGGCTGCTTATCAATTAATTGTTAGTCAATCTATACGATAAATCAACTTCAGATTAATCAATAACTTGCATCCCTAATTTATACAGGAATGAAATTTATTTTTATCTACTCATATTCATGTAATTAAGCGTTTTAATGATTTGGCTGATTAATCGATTAATAGAAAAAATAATCGACAGATTAATTGATTATTAAAATAATCATTAGTTGCAGCCCTACCTATATTATAACATGATATAGCCCCTTTAAAATGCATAAAAGAATGTGTGGACGATCACCTGACCTTAGCGGGGAGCAGGACGGTGTCCATCAGCTGCTGCCGCACCTCCCTCAGCCCTCCCACCCTCTCCAGCCCAACTCCACTCGCTGAGTGAAGTTCAACCCCCCACAGCGACGGCGGCGTGAATCCATTCAGAGCCTCCGCAAAGTCCCTCCCTGACAGACTCACACCTGAYGAACACAGATGATGTCAAACTGATCTGAAATGAAAAACATAGCATTTTTGTGTTTGTTTTGTTACCGTGGTCACTCTGTCCTGTTTCTGTGATGTTGGCGTGGACCGCCCGCTCCACCAGCAGAGCCAGATCCTGGGCTGTGTACCCCTCAGTCTTCTTGGCAACCGCACCCAGGTCGAGCGTGTGCAGGACCTCCTCAGACAGGAAGGACTTCTTTAGGATCAGATGGTGCAGAATCTCTGCTCTCTGAGGCTGGAAACAAGATAAAAGCTGTTTGTTCTGTTTTTTTAATCATTTAAATGTGGATGTTCACGCTGACCTGGTCTGGTGGCTGGATGTCAACAAAGCCCTGGATGAAGTGCGAGCCCTGCACCTGGGTGAGTGAAGGGTGGAGCGTGTGTTCACTCTGACTGGTGATGAGCAGACACAGCAGGCTGGAGTGAAGCACGGCCTCGTCGACCACGTCCATCAGACCTGCAGAAACAAACAGCTCTGATTCCACTCTCAAACCTTCCAGGACAAACCGGTTCCCATCAACACATCTCTAGAGTCACTTTGTGCGATGTGCCGCTGCAGCAGCGCCTCAGGCCCGTGCTCGTGCTCCGGTGAGGTCGCCGTGTGCGTCACGTGATCCAAGTCGTCCAGTAAAACAACGGAGGGCTGCCTCCACTCTGCCTGCTCAAAAACATCCCGCAGAATCTGTCGCACRGTGTCTGCCCTCTTGCCTGGGAACAAAAACAAGCTGCTGATCTCACAGCTTCTCGTCTTGGATTCTGTAAACGTAGAAAATCTGTCTTCACCTTGGAGCTTTTTGCAGTCCACCACTTCCACGTGTGCGTCCAGATCCTCCCTGGCTTTTCTGCAGAGAGCTCGGGACAGCACGCTCTTCCCACTGCCCTGTGWCGAGAAACAGAACTCGTTACAAACGGATCAAAAACAACACTTAAATAAAACAATCAGACTGTTTCATTTCCTTACATATTTAATTACCTTAAAAAGAAAGGATATTTGTGTTTGGTAGATTATTTCTTTGTTGTAGCTTCTTGGCGATAAATCTAACACTGTTGGAAAGTCTGGTAATTTRCCTTTTAAATGGTGCCACATTTGTAAGGAACATGCATTTGTGGGAGCAGAGCACACAAGAAATTTCACAAATCTGCCCGGTATAAGATTTATTACCAAGAAGCATTGTTCCAACAAAGAAATAATCTACCAAACACTAATATCCTTTCTTTTTAAGGT